AGCCTCCCAAAAGTAGGTCACCGGAGTGGGGCAGGGTGCATGCCAAGGGAGTCCCTGGATAGTTCAGGCAGATGGTTTCCCCGAGCAGCAATCACTGAGGTAAAGACTCATGCACAGGAACACAATGAGACCAAACCAGGCGTTAAAGAACATGCTGAAGTAGATGATGCCGATGATGATGTCAGCCAGCGTGGGTAGGATGCTGAATACCAGGTAGCTAGGAGGGCAAGTCAAGTGATAAAGAAAGGTTTGGGGGGTTAGGCCCCACAACCCTACCTCTAGGAGTTTCAGTGCAGCGTTTTGTTTTCAACATCAACAGATTGGAATCAATCTAAATTGTTTCCACTCTCAAGAGGTGGATGGCTAAATAAACCATAGCATGCCCAAACTACCGAATTCTCTGTATCAATTATAACAAATGAAAGAGATCTGCATGCACAGATGAAAAGATACCTCCATAATGTTTTGTTGATATAGCAACTCTGAGACAACTACGTCATGATATCATTTGTCTTAGGAAAACTCTCCATATACATTAGTTCTGCAAGTCTGCACATATACATGTAAAAATGCAAAAAAGCAGAACTCAACATACTAAACAGAGCAGGAAACTTTGGAGAAGTGACGTTCAAAAAGGATTTGTTCTCTGCATTAAGTTACTACATGAAAACGTGTTAATTATCCTATAGTTAAAAAAAAGGACACACCAAGGTTGGAGGGGCAGCTCTTCAGGTGGGGTCTGTTCTCCTGACAGTCCCTTCTTCCCTGCTTCTCTAGCCCCACCCTCCCACACATCCTTTCCACTGGCACGGCACCTGAGCAGCTCTGTGACACTGGACGTGCCCCGGTCCACGACCCGCAGGACCTCCCCAGTGCGGCGGCCCAGGTGCCAGCGCAGTGAGAGCTCGTGCAGGTGGGAAAAGAGGCGCAGCTGCACCTGCCGCGAAGTGAACTGCTGCACCCGGATCCACAGGAATGTGCGCAGGTTGCTCACAAAGCCTGGGGGGAGCCAGGGGAGACCTCAATAGGGCTTGGGGGCTGAGGGATGTCAGCCCAGCACCAAGATGTGAAAGGTCTGAGGGGTCTGGGGGATGAATGCTGGAAAATGAGGTGAGGAAATGTCTGTGGGAGGCACCAGCAACAACTACAGTGAGTGTAGAGTCCCTCATACCTGTACTGCCAGTGCCACCCCCCTGGAGGAACTTAAGGAAGACATAGGTGGTAACAGTCCAGGCCAGGGAGCTCCAAGGTGCCTTCTCGGTCAGCAAGTTCACTGTGGAGAAAACAAGTCAGAGCCCACTTGTGGTACCCAGTACTCCTTTCAAACAAAACAGCCCCAGGAACCAGCCACAGCCTCTTTCTGATCACCAGGCTCCCAACTCTGTCCCACCTCCCTAGGTAAATGCTGCCCCAGCCCCCAGGCCAATGAAAGACCAACATGCTGAGCTGGCACTCATCCTCCTCACCAATGTCCCTATAGAAGATGGGGACCAACAGATTGAGTGCCCGGTCCAGCCCCATGAGTCCCAGGCAGATGAGCACAACCAGCTGCAGAGCTGGACTCTTCCGAGGCCACAGGTAGCCACTCAGTAGGCGGAGCTTCCGGCCAAGGTCTTGCCAGGTAGACCGTTGGTCTGTTGACCGAACCTAGGATGGTGAAACACATAGGGGAGGGGAGCTCAGAAACCAAAATTAAGTGCACTAGCCAGTAACCCTCAAGGTAAAAATGTAGGGGGTTACAGCTCCCAGGATCACAGACCCACAAGTGATCCCTGAAGGGGTCAGAAAAACAATAGAAATTTAAACTGAGATTTGAGAAAGAATTTACTGTGGGGGAAGGAATGATGACAGGGAATGAAATTAAGATAGACCCCAGGATTCAGAAACTGAGGTGTACCTGGTTCCTTTCTACATCTGGGTCCTCATCATGAACCTGCAATGTGTAGGACTGGGGACGAAGACCAGGGGCCCAAAGCCCCAGAACAAACAGTCCTCCAGAGACCACATACCGCAGCACCCACAGGCTAAACTGAACCTAGAATGAAACACATGTGGGGAGACTATCAAAGAGGGGTCAAAATTCCATTCCATTGCTACTCATAACAGGGGTGGGGACTGGTGCAGGGAGCACACCCACCTCCTCAGGGGCCCTGAACCTAGTAAGCTTTAAAAAAAACAAACAAAAAAAAAACCCCCACAGTGACTCAGCAAAGACACGCCCTACCAGCTCCCAGCAGGTGACGGCTCCTCCCTTCTTTCTTTTCTTAGAGGCATCCCAAACCGTGGCCAGACGTGTAGTACTTCTTCCCAAGCCACTATCAATGCTTCCCCTCTCCCCGCAAGGTCCCTCACCTGCTGACCCAAGTCCGCTCTTGCCCACCACCACTGCGGGCTGTTCCAAGATACCAGGGCCAAGTTCTCGGCTGCAAACGCCACAGTCCAGAGAATCAGGAGACCCGGGCTGTGCCTGAATTTGATCCAGACGCCCATTGCCAGATTCTGCCGTGCCTGTCTGCGTTCCAACAAGAGCAGCCACAGCCCACAGGCTCTGGCCAGACTCTCCAGTACAGAGGCCACCAGTAGGTAGCTTGGCAGCGGGGTCCCCCGGGCAGTGCCCACCCGGCCGGCCAGGCCAGCCAGGGGCAGCGCCACCTGAAGGATGGCCAGAAGCAGCTGCAGCCGGTAGGGAGCGACGAGAGGGCCGGCCCCCAAAGACAGCGCCTGTACGTCAGTGGGCAACTCTCGACGCTGGCAGGGAAAAGCCAGCACCAAGGCCAGAGCCCCCAGGGCCATCAGCGTCGAGGGCACGAGGGTGAAGAAGAAGCAGGGACTGAGGCCATCTTGTGTCCAGGCCGGACTCACGGGCCCTTCAGCCTCGCAGTAGTTGCCCACAGTCACCATAGCAATGTGTGGCCGCTGGCCGAGGCTGCGGGCACTGCGGAACCGGAGAACGAGACAGGCCGCTCAGAGAGGGGCGCGGATGCCGAGGGGTCCCGGTTCATGGAGCGGCCGGACGCTAAGCCGCGGGAGTCGCGGGGAGAGACGCACGTGGACCCGGCCAACACCGCTCACTCGCTTCGCGCACGCGCCGCCGCCGCGCACTCACGCAAAGCACGTACGCCGTCGCCGCCGGTCCCGCGCCACTCGCGGCCCTGGACCCTCCTGCCAAGTCCAGGCCCACAGGAATGTTCAGGGCCTGACTCGCGCAGCTCTAAGGCAGCAGCCGCGCCCACCAGGCCCGCCTCCATGCCCTATTCTAGGGCCCCATTGGCCAAATGTCTCCGGAGGGGCGGAGGAAAGGGTGCAAGCGAAGAAGGAAAAACAGCTGCTGAGCCGCCTTGGTCACGTGCTCAGGGCGGGAAATCTGACTACAGGTATGGCTGGAGACTTTGACCTCCCGGGAAGTGTAGGTCGGAAACGGCTTTTCCGCTAACCGGCTAGCTCAGAATATCCAAGCGACGGCACAGTCTTGTTTTCCTCCAGGTCCCCGCCCCCGGTCCCCAGGCACCTGGGGGTATCACACGCACTCCACTCCTCTTGCTCCCAGGATCCCAGCCCCACGAGACAACAAGCCGCGACCTGGTCAAAGTCCCTTCTTTATTAAGGGTTACCAAGCTGTACACGGTCCCCACCCCGTTCCGCTGTGACTTTGGCAGCACAGTTCGCCACACTCCCACAGCGTACCAGAGCTGAGTGAGGGGTGGGGCAGAGGGTAGGAGCTGAGTCCCAGCATGCAATGCGGCAGCCCAAGGCCTTGGGCGAGGTCATGGCTCCTCTATCCCCTTCTAGGGGACAGCGGGATGTGCGCCAGAGCTTTCTTGCTGGGACGTAGACAGCCAAAGTCACACTCCAGCCCTGTCTGTCCCATATGCAGGTGGGGTGGGGAAGTACAATAAGCAGCAATGGGGGCCCAGAAAGGTCTCAGTCTCCCAGGGGTCCATCTCAAAAGTTGGAGAGGGCAGCAAAAAAATTCCATCCTGTGCCTGCAATTTAGAAACCACCCTTCTTAGTGTCAAAAGATAGCTTGAGGGAGCTGGGAGCTAGAGCCTCAACCCCAACGCAAAGCAAAAGCTGAACAGAAGGGGAGCAAGCAAACAGAACTGGAAGCACGGCCAAACACATGCCAGTGATGTGCAGGAAGCAGAAGAGAGGTGAGCTGGCCGCAGCACTGGGTGAGAACTGGGGGTGAGGTAAGGGCCACACCCTGAGCTGCTCATCTATTCAGGGTTGGGGGGGGGGGGGGGGGGGGTAGGCTACAGGTGTTGAGGGTCCAAACCCAACTTCCCACTCCACAGTTGGCACAGGTTCTCCCTCCTTGGCAGCTTCTGTGGTAGGTGGCCCTCTGGAGACTTGCAGGGGTGGGTGCAAAGGCGGCAGTACTGGGGCTGGGCTGGGGACCTGTTTCTAGCACCACACTCTGAGCCAAGGGGGTCCTGGGTATAAAGCTAGAGTTCTGTGTGCCCCTGGTTTCCAGGCCTCTAATTCCTCTCCTGGGGCTGTGGCAGGCCCAGTGTTGGCACCTCCCTTGGCCAGGCACAGACACACAAACACCACACACGTGGAGCCAGGCAGCACTCAGAGGAGCCCTCCATGGCAGGCAGATGGGATGGCAGGGCAGCAGTTTCCTCCATCCTGGGGTATAGGGACACTCCTCAGCCTTGTCTATACCTGTGGAGAGAAAATGGTTGGTAGCAGAGATAGTCTTCAGCTGTCTGCTTGCCCCACTGAAGCCTAGAGATAAAGGAGAAGAAAAGCTTGATTCTTGGGGAGGTAAGCAAAGGAAAACTTAAGCCCTGAACTTCAAAGCAGTTAAGGAAAGAAAAAGGAGTGTACTTTGGAGAGGAGGGGCAGTGTATCTCTGCATGGGGGCAGGGCACCTTCCTTCAGCTTCCTTGAGCTTCCTTGAGAAGTTGTCACCTTGGCCTGGAAGTTACTGCTACTGGCAGTTGTTCTCGGGCCCGACAGCCCTTACCTTGTGTACCTGAGGAGGAAGCTCATCCTCTGAGCCCTCCTCGGGCACAGGCTCAGGGTGCCTTGATGCTGACTGCCCATCTTCAGCCCATCCTCCAAGCGGCAGCCGAGAGAAGTGAGAGGGAGCCCGGGGTACTGTGCCAGGATCTAAAAAGACAAGAAAGCACACTCTTAGAAAGAACACAAACAGAGGGCCGGCCCGTGGCTCACTCGGTAGAGTGCGGTGCTGATAACACCAAGGCCGCGGGTTCGGATCTCATATAGGGATGGCCGGTTTGCTCACTGGCTGAGCGTGGTGCTGACAACACCAAGCCAAGGGTTGAGATCCCCTTACCGGTCATCTTTAAAAAAAATAATAAAAAATAAATAAATAAAAAAAGAACACAAACAGAAATGAGAAAAGGGTTCGAGGGCTGCTAGGGGAGTTAGTCTCTTTGTGCCCAGTACCTCAGAGCTCTTTCCTCCTCTAGAGAGGCCCTGGAAGAACCACCCTTCCCTCCAGGCTCTGTTTCCTCCTGTATTCCCATTGGATACCTGTGATGCCCCCATAGCGCCTCTGGAAGCCCCCGTGCAAGGCAGTGGTCTCAGGCGCTCCAGGCCGGGGTGCAGCACAGGGATAGCTGGCAGAGCGAGGGATAGGCTGGGAGGCCCGGGCACCCTCTCCCCCCTCTTCAGGGGCGCTCTCCCCACTCTCATCACTCTCCCGGCGGTGCCACACATGCCGCTCCGGTTCAGCCTGGGCCTGCTGCTTGTGAAGCTAGAGAAGTGGGGGGCTCATTAGTTGGGGACAAAAGGATGTCTAAAACAGCTGCCCTTAACCATGGCATCGGCCAGTTCCCACTTAGACCCTCTCACTTAGAATCCTTGACCCACAGCACATGTCTTGTTAAAAGCGTGTAACATGTCTGATACTTTATAGGTTATGTTCCCAGCGGATCCCTGGAAGAAGCCTGTGTGTAGATTGTAACGGCCCTCATTTTGCCTATTCATTTGACCTAAGAACAAATTGATTAAGGGCCTAAGTGCCAGGCACTTAGGTGCTGGGGATACAGCAGTGAATAAAAGAGACAAAAATGTCAGCCCTTGTGGGGCCTAGACTGGTGGTGGTGGTGGTGGTGGTTGTGGTGACAGACAATAAACAAATAAGGAAAGAGTACAGTATGTCAGATGGTGCTAAGTACTATGAAGAAAAATCAAACAGGAAGATTCAGGAGAGTGGGCAAGGGAGCATTTTACCGAGGGTGGTCAGAGGAAGTATGAGGGAAAAGGTAACAGCAGAGAAATGAATAAAGAGAAGAGCCATCTGGATATCTTAGGGAAGTAGATTCTAGGCAGGGGAAACTACAAGTGTGTGAAGTCCCTGGATGAGAATACACTTGGGCAAAAAGGATATTAAGAGGGTTTATATGGGAATGGAGATCGCATAGCAGGTAAATGGAGCAGAGAAGGGATTGGAATCCATGTCTTGCTGCTCTGCATCTAAAACCTTCTATTCTGTTTTCCAGCTGCCCACTCACCTGGTGCATATAGAGGGCATGCAGGCTCATCTCAGTGGACGCGTATTCTGACAGCACCAGGCTCTGCAGCTGTCCTTCCCACACACTGCTCCCAGAGCTGGCTGTCCTGGCATCCACCCTGTTCCTCCCAGCACAGAGACAGCAGTTGTCAATATTTCTGAGCCCCACACAAGTTGCTGGGGGCCAGTGCTGTGCCCTCCCATCTTGCCCCATCTCTACTCACCCAGAGCCTGTCATGGTGCTGGGGGCCCGGCCTGTGGGGGCCTGGCCAGGCTGCAGAGGGGAAAAGGAGCGCAGGGCAGAGGCAACTTCAGCCCTGTGTCTGGAGCTCTGTAGGTCTCTGGGCAGTGGGGGGCCCCGGCAGAATGAGCCAGCTACCACATTTGCAATAAGGCTCAGTGGCTATGAAAGAAAGGTGTGGATGAAATTATCAGGACAGGAGAGAGGCTTCCGGGTCCCCTCATATTCTGTACCTCAGGACCCAATGGCACAGATTGAAGACAGAATGAAACCTTCTACCCCATACCCAGTCCTCAACTCCCACCTCCCGGAGTCCACTTTGCCCATCATCTCCCAGTCCCGAGGAACACACCTCAGACTCAGATTGTAAGGACTGGATGGACGTAAAGAGGGCATTTTCAGGGAGCAGACCCCCTTGTGCAAGGCCAGCAGCTGCTCCATCCCGCTGAACTTGCTCCTTGAGGAAGCCTAGGAAGGCTGTGCTTTCACGTGGTGGCTGCCAGCCAGGGTTGGTGATGGCAAAGTGCATAAGTGACAACTCTGTCTTCCCATCCTCAGCTTGCTGGTACACTGAGGCCTCTGTCTGGCCACCAGATAGCCACTGCACAAGGGAGACTGAAGTAAACAGGACTGTCCTCTTACAGGAACCTTTCCTGCTGAGGGAAGGCTTTGCCCCTGGAGGACAGAGACCACAATACATCGTTGTATCCTGTCCAAGGGCCCTGGTACACACCCCAGGAGTGGCCACATGCTGGGCCAATTGCCTGTGTTGTGTCTTTCTCAAGGCAGCTTGGCAAAACGTGCAATTAGGGCTGAAATTCAGCCCACGGTCCTAGTTGACAAGTAGTGTGTCTCTGGTACAGAGTGCCCAGAGGCAGGGCTGCCTTTTTGTGACTTGTTGGCTCAGAGGGGTGCCTTTTCACAGTCTGCCCGAAGACTATGTGCCAGCATCGTCCCTGGTGACCTGCCACCCTCCCCTCCTGGTACCTGGGGATGACCATGCTGGCGAACATCCATCTGAGCAAATGAGCAGGTGTCTCCAACACCAACAACCTCCACGGTGAAATTGCGGAAAAAGTCTATGATCTCCAGGGCCCTTGGGCGCAGGCAGAAGATGAGGATGAGGGGTGTGACAATGGGGCTCAATAACTCCTCCAAGATGAATACCTAAAATGGAGGGGACCAAGGTCACAAAGAGCAGGAGGGAACCCAGCC